GAATATTTCCTGGTAGCTATACCTTAATGCTTGTTGAGAAGGCGATTTATGAATGGACCAATATGAACCTTTGTTATCCTTTCTTCAGTAAAGCATCAACTATCTCAGCTCTTCAAAGCAGATTGTAGGTTTTGCAACCAAGTCAGCCCAGCTAAGAACCATGAACCAGCCCTATAACAGATAATTCACTAACAGCATTTAGATGCTTTCTTAGCTCCTTCCCCAGCTCAGGGACGTTTACTGGGGTTGAAGGCTGATCTCTCATGAGAGGCAGCACGTTCTTCCCTATGGTGATTGGGACTGCACTTCCGAGCATTCTCGGCGGGAATGTGACGCCGTCAAAACAAGCTGCTGTGACGTCATCGTCAAGCGCTGCACCTGTGGGACCATGCGCTCTACCTGCAGACAGCGAAGAGGGAAACAGGCCAACTGCGGACGAAGACTGGCCGGCCTGACGTGCCGACCCGAACCCTGGACCCTTGAACCCATGACGGCAAGCGACAACCGGATGTTGGACAGAACTGACAAGCAAGACAGGTGTAGCCGGCCGCTGCGCCTGGGACCCGCGCTCCCCTGGAAGGCAGCGCAGCGCAGCGCCGGAGCCGGAGCCGGAGCCGGAGCCAGAACCGGAACCGGAGCCGCAGGAGCAATCCTCCCCCCTTCTGCGGACCCTCCAGAACCAGAGCAGCCGGACACAACGGCGGGTGTTGTTCAAAGCGACACTCTCCCAAACAGCCGAGATCGCTGCTGAGACTTCACAATGCAATCGACCCGCCGTGATACTCACCGCAGACAGGACAAGTAGAAACAAACGACAAACCACAAGTAACGCACACAACATCCTGGCAAACAGGCTTGTAGAGGGAGCAGCGGAGATAGGCAGGCAGGCTAAAGCAGCTTAAATAAGGCGCCATGTAGATGTTTGCCAATTGGATGCTTGAGGAAATCAGGTGAGCTGTCAGCTGACTGTGTATGGTATCCAATGGGAAGCTTAGAGGAATCAGCTGATGTATGTTTATGACTAGCTGTGGGCTCGTATGATATAGCTGTAACTGAAAGCTAAGCCTGACTTCGTGCCCTGCCTGAACTAACGCTATGCTCAATTTTTGGCATTAAATGGAGCAGCTTGTGCCTCAATCCTCTCCCTCTCTGGTTTCCGGAGATATATGGCGGCTGGGCCATAGGCCTCCATCTCTGCATCTGTATTCATGGTCACACTTCAGGGGAGACTGAAAAAATAAAGAATCCACCATAGTGTTAACATATCAACATGATATAGCTGATGGTTGAGATTTCGTGTTTTTATGGCGACATCTTTTACCTCAGCTTGTTCCAAAAGAGAATGAGTGGTGCCCTGTGCGTGGCAAGATGCTATAAAAAGAGTACAGTAACTTGTTTCAGTTTTTTTTATTTTATTATTTAAATTTTAGAGCATTAGAGGGTAAAGGTGGCTAAATGTCTTCAGACTTGAATAATATATGGTCATGACTCAGTTGAATCATTAAAGTTCAGTACTCTCCCATTTCCTCAACTGCCCCCAAACCTGTGAAATAGCCTTGATTTTAATGATCATTAAGTGTATATGTGTGATGACACAGGGTGTGTATTAGATGTCAGTACAAACTAATTAATTGTGTGTGGTTTTTATTTTATTTTATTTTTAAGAAAAAGAAACTACTTCTTAAATGTGTCAAGAGTATATCAAGAAAAATGTTTTTTAATATTATTGTCCACTCAAGACTACTACCAAGGTAACTGTCAAAGAATTGTGGACAATATGCATAAGTATGCATTTCAAATAACAAAGATACCTTTCCAATATCAGTTCAATTCCATTTTATTTGTAATTCATAACAGAAGTTATCTTAGGACACTTTTCAAATAGAGCAGGTCTAGACCGAACTCCTTATAACATTATTAACAGAGACCCAACAGTACCACCATGATCAAGAACTTGGCGACGGGGGCAAGGAAAACCTGTCTTTTTAAAAGGCAGAAACCTAGGACAGACCCTTCGGCTCTAGGTGGGTGGTCGTCTGCCTCGACCAGTTGGGGTGAGAGAGACAGACAGACAGACAGACAGACAGAGGTGCACAGCAACAACAGTAGGAACAACTACACTAATAGTAGTGACTGATGATGAACATCACGGCTCTTGGCTCTCAGCTTGTTGACCTGGGGCTCAGCGATTTCAGCGTGCTCCTTAACTTCTTACTGCTCATGCAGGATCTGTATCAGCGTGTGGACAGTGTTGACACAATATAAGCTACACACAAAAAGTAAGAGAATTTGTGTTTTTGTTAGATTATTTCTTTGTTGTGTCTATGCTTCTTGGCAATACATCTTATACCATTGGAAAACCTGATTATTTTCTATATTGGTATAAATAATATTGTATTGTGTCCTTTTTAAATGGTGCCACAATTGTAAGGAACATGCATTTGTGGGATAAGCAGCAGAGGTGAGTATGTGAGTTGCACCCATGAAAAATGTGCCAGATCCTCTCTGCCAATGCCAAACAGCTTTTCTTTGCTGTTGCTATTGACTCTTGTTTTGAGCTTCTGGTACCCCTAGGTGCTGAAAATCAGGTGACAAAACAAGGCTTGTCATCATTGTAGGCAATCTCAATGCAGAGAGATATTGAGATGAAATTCATATCTCCACAGTCTGGGACCAAACTCTATCCTCCAAGATGACAACCTTCCTCCCCACAGTCTGGGGTTTATCAGAGACTTCCTCCAGAATTTGGAAGTGGGATCAGCTTGGGCGTGCTGTTCGTGCCAGAGTGACCAACACAACCACGTTGGCTGACTTGCGACAAATGCTGGTTGGAGAATGGGAGGCCATCCCACAGCAGTGTGTGACCAGGCTGGTGACCAGCATGAGGAGGAGGTGCCATGCTGTTGTGGCTGTATATGGTTCTTCCACACGCTACTGAGGCTTCTGTTTGTTAAATGAATGCAGTGTTAAATTGCCAATATGTCTTGTGACTTCAGACTTCAACCATCCAATCCACCAAACAACACCGAACAGCAAAGAAAAGCTGTTCAGCATTGGCAGAGAAGCAAATTTTTTTCATGGGTGCAACCCACATACTCAGCTCTGCTGCTCATCACACAAATGCATGTTCCTTACAATTGTAGCACCATTCAAAAGGATTTGTTGCCAAGAAGCAGAAATAATCTATCAAACACAAATTTCCTTACTTTTTGTGCGTAGTTTAGTTTCTTTATGTCATTACTGATTTGTGCTACCTATGTAGATTAAAAAACATTTGACTTACTCAGCCTGTCTCTTGTAAGCTTTGACTTTGAGCAGCTTGTCCCACAGATCTTAAGTCTGGTCACATTGTGCCCCGTCTATACAGATACAAGTGTATATATGATGAAGAATAGAAAAGTTTGGGTAGTCTTTTCACACCTTTAACAGCATCAACTCCATGTCTCACTTTAAAGTAATTATAAATAATACATCAATATTATGTATATGAATCCTCCACTTCACACTGAACCTGGACACGGCCAGCTTCTTCTTGGTGTTCATAAGACTGGTGTTCTAAATATTGACAAAGATAAGACATTGTTTTATAGGTATTGTGACAGCCCCTTGACTTCCTGTTTGGGCGGTCTTTGTCTTTAAGGAAGGAAACAGGAAGTGCATCATTAATTAGCACCTGCTGCTCCTCAACTATATAAGCAGGAGGAGTCAGTCAATTTGTCCCTCTTTTCCTGTACATATGGTTTTGTTGTTTAGGTTAGATATTGTTTGACAGTCACTCACACAAACACTCCAAACACTACTGATGTACTGACTGACATACTTTATATTACCATTATTTCACTTTGTGGAAATGAATATTTAGCTAAAAAGTCATGTGTTGTCCTCTCCTCTTTGTCCCACCCTTGAGCCTGGCTGTGTCTCTCTTTAATGGGATACACTGTAAAAAAAAATTGGCTTGTTCAACTTAAAATAACTTTAAACTTTAAAAATAAATTTTGGGCAACAATTTAAGGCTTAAGTTGTTTAGTTTGGCAAACTAAGTAACTTAAGTTGTTTGAACATATATCTGAGTTTCTTAAACTTAGAATAAATAGTTGGGGTGACAAAGGTGAAGCTGTCAAATTAGTTTAATCAACTTTAGATTTGAAGTTTAATCAAGTTTTTTTTTGTGATACCAACAAGATATTTTAAAGTTGTACAAACCTAAATCCTAGTTTAGACAACATAAAATGACCAGTAAAACCAACAAACTTGCAATGATATCTTGATATCTTGAGTTGTACAAACTAAGCATGTTGTACAATTAACTTAGAATTTCTTGTTGTGTAAACATAGTAATAAAACTTTACTCAACTAAGCATTTGGCTGAATTAACTTATTTTTTTAAGGCAGCCAGGTTCATTCAATAAAAATTGGACTGCATCTTTTACCCACACAACTTAAATCTATAGTACGACATAAAAACTGTTCTTCAACATAAATAACCATTCAGAATGCCATTTTATTGAATTTCAAAACTGGGTGGCCTTTTTGGTCTTACTACCATGAGGCAATGCAGAATTATGACAAGTCTCACATATTTAACATGTTTAGCTGTGAACATTTACATAATAAAACTGTAAAACCTTAATATTATGGTTTACCATGCAAGAATGTTCATGGTATAAAGGTAGTTGTGTCCTGCAGGACAATTGGAATGATGCAACAGAGTAGCTAGATTCGCCAACTGGACACAAGCTGGGGTCTGATCAGCCCCAGCTGGGTCATCTGGATGAGGGTGTATGATGTTGAAAGACCAGAAACACCCGATGATTCCAGGAACATCACTGAAGATGTGTGAGGCAATAAAGCACACCCATCATTGTTGCGAAGGCATTAGCAACATCTCTTAGATCGTGCAGAATGATGTGCTCCTCCAGGACAACAGCAACATCAACAGCCTCTTTTGCCAGCAACTCCTGCTTGCTTCCACCTTCCTCTGAAACAATGAGAAGGCCAATGTCCACTCCTTTTGTGACCTCCTCTTCTGAACTGCCAGGCTAAAGCACATAATAAAGATCAGTCAGAAATCAAGCATATACCATCAATTTACCAATTCACTATTTCAATTTGGTAAATGTGTATAAATGTATACATTGATTTGTATAATGTATTTAGTCAAGATCATTTTAACAGAAAAAAACATGGAGTCTCGGTCTATGTCAATGTCTTAAAGGCTCACTTTAAGACATTTTCAGGTGATTATACACTAATGAACATACTTATGAATATTATAATTAATTTATGCCATATTCTGTAAATAGAGTCCCTTAAGTCTGACATACCTTTAACATGTGTAAATATCAATGTTTGTTGTTGTTTTTCACCATAATTAGAGTTTCCCATGCCAATGAAATTAATTCACACACCTCGCAGACTCAGACGAAACTGGAAGGATCCTCCTTCAGGTAGTATGGAAGTCCAAGCAAAGCAACTGCTCTTCTCTTCTGATTTGAAGTCTCATAACACAACAACAACAAAAGAAGAAAAATTGGAATCAAGCATGCACATGTCAATTCTGACAACACTGGGATTGCTGCTGTGTCACTTAGAGACAAATTAAACTGTGGTTTAGAACAGATTTACAATCTGGTACATGCAAAATGGGACATGGCTGCTCTGTCAAAATGACACTTTAAGATGTTTAACTTTTTACATGACATTGTAGCATTATAAAGCCTCATATGTCATAACACAATGTCAGAGATGGGGACTCGAGTTGGCGACTCGGACTCAAGTCGCACACACAGAGCCTTCAGATTTGAGTTGGACTCGTGCTCAAAAGACTTCAGACTCGACTCGGACTCGTGTTTTGGGACTCGTGAACAATCATTATGTTTTCTTTTTTGGCGTATTAATATTGAGGAAATTCTGAAACGTCTGACGAGCTTAATGTGATTCCTTCCTTTCTTTCATGGTAACCACTGTAACCATTAGGGTGCGTAATAACGTTAACCCTAGAAAAATACATAGTTATAGTGTCGGCTTACAGGCAGGTTACAGGTTAATTGTTGACCACGTAACGTTAATGTTAGAGGTTTACCAGGTTACCATTACACTGAGTTTGAGTGAGAGGATAGAGGAATGTGTCATTAGAGACCCAGTGTAATTAAACAATATGGTTGTAGAGTGCAAACTTTTTTGTCCACTGGCAAAATGGCTAGACTAGTGAATGTTGAAATTTTACCAGCTACTCAATAGATTACCATGGTTATTTTGGCTGGTGAGTGCAGCATACAGTACCAGCCACTTGCATGATTTACTAGCATCTGAATGGTGTTAATTTTGTGTCCAGCAGATGTAGCTTACTATAACTGTGATTGGATAATTAGTTATTTATGCATGATTAATAATGTTAGATTTACAAGATTACAAGATTACTTTATTTGTCACAAACACTGTGAAATGTCTCCTGGTTACTCCTTAACTGGCCTTATAAATAGAATAAAGAAAATAAATATGAATAAAATCAAACTAATATGATGTAAATAATGTAATTAAATATAATCTAAATAATGTAATCAGAAATGAAAATATGTGAAAGGGTGTACTGATACTGTATGCTAATAGATAATGGAGTGATAATAATACAGTAAATGCTTTGAATTTCTTAGATATAACTGTGCAGTATTCTTAGTAGACTGGATAGCAGCAGATGACAGAAGGCTCATTACAACCAGAAGAGACATATGACTTTTATTTTTCAGAGACTTGAGACTTGACTTGGACTCGTGACCAAAGACTTCAGACTTGACTTTGACTTGCAAAAAAAGACTTGTGAACATCCCTGCACAATGTAGTAAAAATCTTTACTGTCCTTACTCGTATGTCAAGGGGCTGAAGCAGGGTACGCAGGTCTGCACTGGTGCTACTTCGCTCTGTACATTTCGAGCAGGCTCGGGACATATTTGTCCAGTCCATCAAAGAAGACCCGTGGAGTTCAGTCGAAACCAGTCGTATAAACTCTGCACTGATCTGTAAGGACAAAAACAATTATTAGTCTCATCAGTGGTTTCCTTACAACATAAAATACATTGAGAGCAAAGAGGTTCAGCTTGGGCTCTCACAGGCCAAAAACTCAAATCTAGCAAATCTTGATTAGTTTAAAAAATATTTAAAATAATATTTCACTTTCACACACTTTTCACTGGTTTATGTAGCAGGATGTGGGATGAAATCAAAAAGAGTGAGACTTCATCTTTCTAGTGTATCTCATTTGTCTTTAGCACTGATACTGGACAACTGAATAAGCTTAATGATTAAGAATTGGACATTTTGTACTGTAAACTCATTCAACCATACCAGGCTGAAAGAAAATGAGGAATAATTTCCTCTGGATTATTCCAGTAGCTAAACAACGGAGGAGGTGCCCCATTTACGAGTGTATTATTAATCACCAGTGATTACCAGTGATTAATTACCTATTAATTTCTTATTAAATAGTAGTGTAACCCCTACACCTTCAACAGCCCCACCTCACCAGTCCCCCCCCCAGCTCAGCAGGAGCCCGGGCCACTCCACAACTTCACACCTATGTGAATCCCTCCTCCTCCACCACAGCGACGACTCTCTGCCTACAAGAGAGGGACATCAACAGGCTCTTTAAGAGGCAGAACCCCGCAAAGCAGTCGGACCAGATTCTGTCTCTCCATCCACCCTGAAGAACTGTGCTGACCAGCTGTCTCCGGTATTCATGGACATCTTCAATACCTCATTGGAGACATGTCATGTGCCAGCCTGCTTCAAGTCATCCACCATCACCCCTGTCCCCAAAAAAGCAAGGACCACAGGACTAAATGACTTCAGACCTGTTGCCCTCACCTCTGTGGTCATGAAGTCTTTTGAGCGCCTTGTGCTTTCCCACCTGAAAGCCATAACGGACCCACTCCTGGACCCCATGCAGTTCGCCTACGGAGCCAACAGGTCTGTAGACGATGCAGTAAACATGGCCCTGCACTTCACCCTCCAGCATCTGGACTCCCCAGGAACCTACGTCAGGATCCTGTTTGTGGACTTCAGGTCCGGGAGTCAAATGTCTCTGACTCCCAGACCATCAGCACTGGTTCTTTTCTCCTCTTCTCAACCTGGAGCTAAACGCTCTAAAAACAGTGGAGATGGTTGTGGACTTTAGAAAGAACCCAGCCCCACCCACCCCCATCATCCTGTGTGACTCACCAGTTGACTCTGTGGAGTCCATCCGCTTCCTGGGTACCATCATCACCCAGGATCACCAAGAAAGCCCAGCAGAGGATGTACTTCCTGCGGCAGCTGGGGAAGTTCAACCTGCCAAAGACAATGATGGTGCACTTCTACACCGCCATCGAGTCCATCCTCACAAGGGCAGACTGCAGCACATCATTCGTTCCACTGAGAAGATGATCGGCTGCAACCTACCATCCCTCCAGGACCTGTAAGTCTCTAGGACCCTGAGGCGTGTAGGCAAGATTGTGGCTGACCCCTCCCACCCCGGCCACAAACTCTTTGAACCTCTCCCCTCTGGCAGGAGGCTACAGTCCATCAGGACCAAAACCTCTCGCCACAAAAACAGTTTCTTCCCGTCTGCAGCTGGCCTCATCAACAAGGCCGGACCCCCCACTGTCACTGACTCTTATACCCACCCTGTATATATGCATTACATTAATGCACTCCCGTCTTCTGTACAGTTTTCCTATCTTTTCTTATCTTTCTTATCTTTATTTATCTATATTTTTTCATATACTTTGTGTTGTAAAGTACTTTATTCTTGTGTGATTTTTGTGTGACTTGTATATTTTTGTGTGATTTATATATTAATCTATTTTTATTTTTTGTGTGATTATATATTTTAAGCACCATTGCACCAAAACAAATTCCTCATATGTGTAAAAATCTACCTGGCAATAAATCTGATTCTGATTCTGAAGATAGAACCACCAATGTCTGTGGAACTTGAACCGGCAACCCTCCAGTTCCCAAGCCAAGTCCCTACACACTGAGCTACTGCCACCCTGCACACAACAGTGCATACACCTTTATCGTTGGTTTGTAGTCACAGTCAAGATGGCTTCAACAAAAAAAATTACAGCAGATAAACAGCCAACAAACCTAATTGCTGTTTATCACGAAGAGTACATAAGTTAACTTATGTAATTATGACAACAACAGTGGAAACGGCATTCTCTTTCACGGGCAAGTTTTCAAAGTTTCACCCGAGCGCTAAAAGGCTCAGGCAGAACAAATAATACATTTCCGTCTAGCTGTATGTTTACAGCTAGACAAATAATTAATTCCGTCTAGCTGTAAACATACAGCTGTAAACATACAGCTAGACAAATAATTCCATCTAGCTGTACAGCTACCCTGGAGATGGACCTGCAAAACGGAAATGTATTATTTGTTCAGTTTTTCACCCTAGCGCCTTTTAGCGATGTCTAATTGTGCAGCTAACATAACTAACTAACTTCATCTCATACTTTTTTTGTCCTAATAATGTTGCAACGTGATTTGTATTTATGAAATAGGAAGAAACCACTAGTGTCTTTAGTGGTAGTATTACGATTGTTCATAAAATATAAAACGTTTGCTTTGTGTGTGTGTGTGTGTGTGTGTGAGAGAGAGAGAGAGAGAGAGAGAGAGAGAGAGAGTGAATCTGTAATCACGCACTGATCATTTCATGGCTGAAAACAAGGCCTCCTGCCTTTACTCAAAAACACCCACCGGCATCATGCCAGGGCCCACAAGATATGCAAAATATTGATGTAAGATGATTTAATAGCAGTTTGTTGTGCGTGTACATTATTGCCACAAAGGTGTCCAGAGGGCAATACATTTGATGAGGGCACAAGGGTTAAGTTTCTTTGAGTTTAACTGGATGAGACAAGAGTGGGCGGATGTAAAGGTGCAGGAGGAGGGAGGTGAGTGTATAAAAGGAGAGTGTGCAGAGCTGGACTCTCCAATAACAGCAGATATGGGATCAGGAAGGTTGGTCAGGACTCAGCCGGGGCTGTTGGCCTTTCTGGTCTTTTCCTCTCTGACTTCTCTGGCTGATGGATCACCATTGTAAGTTGACCTGGCTTAGCTTTTCACACAATTCCTTGAATGTCTGTTCAAAGAGAAAGAGGAGGTTGAAGGAAAAAGACAGGACAGAGTCAGTTGGAGGAAGATGTGTATGTGCTGCATGCATGCATGTAAAGGGTAGCTGAAACATGCAAAAAGATTTGTGTGTATTGTGCAGGAAGCACAAATACTGTTAATAATATGTCCAATACATTTTATATTTCCATTCCTAGTTCTGGTTCCCATTTTATGTGGAGATGTATTGAGACATTGTCTTTACTGTACACTGGATCTCTTCCCAGATGTCAGCAGGGTGAACAGGCTGTGGCTGGGTCGGGTACTACTGTCTTTTAATATCCTTTGGGCTCTGCTTAGGCACCTCACCTTACCAATATCACTGATGCTGGGTAGCTGAATGCTAATGATCTTCTAGGTGGTTTTATACATTGATGTCACTGATGATGTATTTCCTTCCTGATTGAACCTGTGCCATTCTGTGCAGTTTTTACTGATGGTTTGATCCTTTTTTTAGCTGGGTATAAGTTGGCAGGAGAATCATGGAAATATAGTTTGATAAACCAAAGTGGAGGTGTGGGAGGGCTGTATAGCTGCCAGGGATATTTGTGTAGGCACAGTCCAGTGTATTAGGTCCTCTGGTGGGGATGTTGACATGCTGATGAAATCTTGGTAATTAATAAAACAAAAGTATCAAGGTTTTATGGAGCTACTTGCTGCCGCATCTACACACACAGTCATTACCATGACAATCATGACTATCATGACCAAATCTCAAGAACATCAGGCAAAGAAAACCTAAGGAACAAAAATGTCTCAGGGGAGGCACAAATTGGCAAAGTGTACATTGATGGTAAAAAAGTAGTTTAACTCTAGTTTGAAGGTTTTCGTCACATAAATCAAGGTTAAATTATGCCAGTAAACTGGCCTAAATCTTGAGTTTGCAGAGTGATGCATTACATCAGACACAGCAAACAGAGAAGATGAAATATTTTGTTGAACCAGTACAGAATCTTAGTCAAGATAATCAATAGATCACTTATTATGTATGAAGTCCATGCTAGAGCAGAAGCAAATATGTTGTTTAAATACAAACAACTGTAGAGGAAGAACTAAATAAAAACAGTAACTTCATTCTTAATCTCTCTCTCGTCTCGCTGCTCTGCAGGGAGGTGATGTCTGCCCCCAACTTGTTGCGGGTAGGAACACCAGAAAACATCTTTGTGGAGTGTCAAGACTGCACAGGAGGAGACATCAGGGTCGATATCAAAGTGATGAATCATCCAACCAAAACCAAAGAACTGGCAACCACATCTGTGACCCTCACTACAGCAAACAACTTCCAGGAGTTTGGACAATTAAAGGTAAATGAAATACTGTATAATATGTACAGTATGTGTTACTGGCTTCATTTTCTATCATGACCACCAACAAGAGGTCTAGAATCCATAAATGTACATGTTATAACCTGTCAGACCCCGTTCCGCTCTACATGCACTGCCTGTGTCTCTACATGCTGGTTTCAGATCCCTGCTGGTGACTCCAGCAAAGATCCCAGCATTAAACAGTATGTGTACCTGCAAGCTCAGTTCCCTGACCGACTGCTAGAGAAAGTCGTCTTAGTGTCCTTCCAGTCTGGGTATATCTTCATCCAGACTGACAAGACCCTCTATACCCCCAACAGCAAAGGTGAGTTCAATGCTCCATCAGTGCTGAAAAAAACTCTCCTACTTCTCTGAGAAGGTGTCTCAATATGTAAGAAAAGATATTACCATAGGAAATATACCACACTATCTATTTGACATGGACATTTACCATTTTTTAAAATTAATGATTGACAGTAAAATGCAGGAAAATTCACCCTTATTTTGACATAAGTTGTTTAACAGTCACATACCTCAAAATAG